AAATCATGCCTTTTATGTAAATTTAAAATCAGAATGCACAAAAAATAACACAACTTTTTCCAAGGATACACATAAAGTCAAAGATATTTATTGAATGCATTAGAACTGTTGTGGGAGATGAGACTGGAGAATGGTGGTGAAAGAAAATAACATTCATTCAGACAGAAAGATGTACAAGAGAAGGGTTTTGAAAAATGGAGGTTAAAAAAAATGGATCTACGGGGGCCGGCCCGGTGACATAGTGGTTAAGTTTGCGCACACTGCCTCAGTAGCCTGGGGTTTGAAGTTTCCGATCCCAGGCACAGACCTACACCACTCATCAAGCCATGCTGTGGCAACGTCCCACACACAAAGTAGAGGAAGATTGGCACAGATGTTAGCCCAGGGCCAATCTTCCTCAAGCAAAAAGAGGAAGATTTGCAACAGGTGTTAGCTCAGGACCAATTTTCCTCACACACACACACAAAAAAGGAAATGCATCCTAGTTCTACCAAGTGATTGCTGTGTGACCTTGGATAAGTCAGGCCATCTCCTTGATACTAGTTTTTCTCATCTGGAAGATGGAAGATAAGGACCTTCACATCCCATGTCATGAAGGATGTCTACGGAGGAAGTCAGTGTAGTAGAATGGAAAACGCATGAGATTTGGAGCTGGACAGACCCAGCCATTCACTGGGTGGCCTTGGGGAATCACTTCACTCTCTAAGCTTCTGTTTTAAATGAGGCGGTCAAGGCAGGCTTCACTGAGAAGGGGACATTTGAGCAAAGCCTTCAAGGAGGCAAGGGAGTGAGCCACACGGATATCTGGGGGAAAATGTAATTCAGGCAGAGGGAAGAGTCAGTTCTATCCACAAATAATGGTGTGACGTTGTCCTCACAGTGCCTGGCACATGATAAGCCATCAGCAACTGTTGAGTATTCATCTCTTTCCCTTCTCTTACAGAGATGTCAGGAGCCAGGTGACCACTTAATGCACTTAGAGCTTCAGCGACAATGACACCCTGGCTTCAGAAGTTCTTTGAAATGCTGCATTCATGTACACCATCCACCTTCAGGAGCGCCCTCCCTAACTGACCATAGGAGCCTCAGCCTGGAAAGAAGTCATTGCTGCCGGGGCTTCAGCCTGCATGGGGAGCACAAGAGCCCTCAAAGAGGACACTCGAAAGAGCAAGGCAGGGGCCCTTGCCAGCTACTAGTCCCCTCAAGAGACCCCTACCCCAGCATACACCAAAGCTAGCACAGTGCCTAGAGAGGCTCGGGTGAGGGTACCATCACAGCGGGGAGGAGAAAAGAGAAGGGACCCATATTTACTAAGGTAGGTCTGGGTTTGAATATTATTCTGCCACTTACTAGCTCTTTTACAAATCACTGAACCACTCTGAATGTCAATTTCCCCATTTGTAAAATGGGCATGAAAATATCAATTCTGTACAGTGGTTGTGAGGACTCAATGAGATAAGATTTGTGAAAGAGACAAGCAAATGTTTGGGGCTTAACAAAAAGTAGGCCCCTTTCCCTCTGTACCAAGTGCCTGGGAGGCAGCCACTGTCTTATTCAGTCAGCCCCGGTCCCTATTATTTTATTCATTTCAGTGGGAATGGAATCACTTACCTTTCAGGGAGGATGTGAGGTTTCAGTGAGACAACAGATAAAAACTGTGCTCAGCATAGTTATTGGACCAAAACAGGTACTCCATAGGTGTTTTTTGGATACCCAGATGGATGGACGGATGGATGGATGGTAGGTGGGAGGATGCTTGCTGGCAGGAGGTCAGGGGAAACATAATTTGTATTACAGAAATACAAGTCTGCACAAAAATCAGATGTTTTACAAGGAGGTTTTATTATACCTGTTTGCAGCTTTAGGTCTCAAGCACAGATTTAACATAGATGAGTAAAGACAGGCATAAACACGCCCAGTTCTAGTCATCTGTGACCTACACTTACTGCTCTTGTGCCTATGACTCATCTCAATGAAGTGAGGGGCCAGTTCTTGCCTGTGCCAACATTCTCCAACGGAGATCACTGGCAGTTCCCTGGGGTAAAGGCTGAGATAAGGGGAAAATGAAGGGTGAAGCCTTGTTTACGTACAAGATGGCCTAGAAATCCTAATTGGTGATGTTTCATCTAAAGAATTACAACTCAGATTGTCCTATAATCCATGACACCGTTGCAAGAAACGAGAGACACAGATTAGCAGCCACTTCTGTGTTGGCTGCAGTCCCATGCTGTGTAATTTCCGCAATTTCTTAGCTTCTCTGAGTCCCATGTTCCCCTCACTAAGATGAAGAGATTGGACCCTCCCAGCTCCAAAATGCTCTGATCCTCTGAAAATCCCGGACATCTTCTTTAAAATGTCAACAGAAATATTTGTACAATTTTGATTAATAAAATAACTGACATGTAGCTACTTCAACCTCCTCTCTGAGTTCCAAAGACTGTAAATATCTTTTGAGTTTAGAGTTTCTAAAGGAATATCTTAGAGGCTAGAATCTCAAAAGTTGCATGAAAACTACTAATATCTTTGTCCTGAACTTTGGAAGAATATGTATTAAATTCCTTCTCTATTTGTCCCTGAAGAGCCTCCTTAAACCCTTTCAAAACAGGTGCATGGATATGTCAATATGTCTGTTTACACTACACCTTGGGAAAGCAGTAAGCTTTGGAGACAGACAGATCTCAATTCCAGGCCTAGACACATTGAGATTAAGATTCAGTTTCTGTCCCAAGACAGGGAAAACAGACATTGAAATGGATAAACTTCAATAACCACTGTAATTAAGGTATAAAAAATTTGGACTCTCCCAGCCTTAAAATGCTGCTAGAAGGGAGCCAATTACCCCGCCTGGAGAAAGAAAAGCCTGCCTATAGGAGGAATTCCAGGCTAGGTCAAAAAGAAGAGAAGACATCTGAGAAGGTCACAACCAGGCAGAAGTCACAGGGGAGTAAAGGTGGCTGGATTCAGAGTGGTGAAGTCAGCAGGACTGTAGCATGGACTACAAACTAAAATACTCCTCCCACTCCCATGGGCCCTGGCAGGGAGTGAGACCCTGGCCTGTGTGTTAGGGCAACATTCTGGGAGAAGCAAGGGAGCAATCACAAGTTACCATCTCGGGACTGTCAGAGTTACTCTTTATTGAGCACTTACTGAGTGTAGACCCTGTGCACTTTATACACAGCACAGCGGTGTTTCCTGAAGTGTGCTATGCAAGTCGCTGGGGCATATGAGGTGACTTTAGACAGGACACCAAGGATATTTTTATTTTAATAGCTATATGCTTTATATTTGTGTTTACCTTCTATGTGTAGCAGGTAATATTAGTTTTCATTTACAATTTAGTTATAAAGCATCGTTTTAAATTTAAGTTTTAAAAAGTGACTCAATTTAAAGAAAAATATTTATTATGTAAACATATAGATGGTACATAGATATTGCAAAAATTGTGAGAAGGGTACGTGAATGACCAAAATTTGAAAAACACTGTGCTTTAGCATATAAGCATTTATCTCATTCAGAGCTCTTTTGGTTGCAAGTAATAGATGACACCTCAAATCAGTTCAAGCGAAATAAGATAATGTATCCTAACAAGGGAATCTCACAGGACTCAAAAGAAACAGTGCAGATGTTGAGCCTCGAGAAGGGCTTGGCCTGGAGGAGGAGAGGCAGCAGGCCCCTGGAAGCACCGCCCCCTCCTCTCTCCAGGCTCCTGGGGTCTCCCTCTGGTCTCTGCTTTGCTCTGGGCATCTCCGTCTTCTCTCTGAACAGAGCCATTTTCTCTAATAGGCTCATACAGGTGGCCACCCATCGCCACCACCCCCCCACCAAGCCTCAAATACATAGACATACACTCACTCACAGCTCCAGAGTTTATGGATCGTCAGGCAAGAGACTTGCAGAGCCTGAAATAGCATCCCTGAATCTTGCTGCTTATTCCTGAGAGAGAGAAACCGACTGGCCCAACTAGAGCCAGATGCTCACCTCTCATCTATTCAGCTCCTATAGGAGGATTGAGGGGAACATGTTCTCAGAAAAAGGGAGAATCTGGGATGAGCAGTCACCCCAACCAAGAGGTGTCTGCTTCAGCATTCACCACTCATAACAACCCTATGAGGTAGGAAATTCAGCTCACAGTCCCTTGGCAGGAGGTGACAAAGCCAAGACTTGAACTTGGGTCTGAGTGACACCAAAGCTCTAGGATGCTGCACTATCCACCTGGTCACCATCAGCTAGTCCAGCCCACAGCGACCACCGCAGACCCAAGCAGGTTACTGGCCCATTGGGACACATTTATCAAAATCAGCAATCCAGTGCTTGCCTAGTAGATAGGAAATAAGGATCCCAACCTTACGAGGACTCTAGCTGCAAGCTAGGGAGATTTCTCAGAAGGATCATGGGGCTCTGGAAACCAGGGAAGGCTCTCCAAGCCCCAGGGTGTGAGGCTGCCAGGTTCATACTGCAGGTACTCAGCTCAGAGTGTGAGAGGAGGCTCATTTGAATACATTTGCCAAAAAGTCACAAGCAAGCATATAGAGATCCTCGGGAGAAGCTGACACCTCTCTTCTGCACCCAGAATTCAAAGTTCCTGTGGACCCTTGGGACTATAACTACTCCTCCCACCTCCTGGAAGCTAAATTAGGAGGGACTCACCAGAAAGTGAGGCAGGGGAGGAGATCTGACAGGCTCCTTCCACTCTGGAGACCTCACCCACACCCAGGCTCTTCCCAGCCTAAGTGCCCACTCCCGTGGAAGCCTCTGGGCATGGTGGTGCCTCGGATGACCTGAGTTTGGTTTTGAGGGGCCTTTACCCCACAGTGGGTGGCTGCCCCATAAAAGGTACTTCATCAGGGTCTGTTGTTGAGACAGACAGATGGATGTGCAGGTTGTGTCTCTCCCACTCTCCCAGAATTGACCCAGGCTTCAGGTGAGGCCTGTACAGAGAGACATATCTGCCTCGAGAAACAAGCTCCCCATCCTAGGTTTTGGTCTCTGCATGTTTTATCTTCTCTAGTCACCATTCAGGACAGATTGCTGAGTGAGTCAGGAGATGGTTCCACCGAGCCACTTCCCCTAAGAAGTGTCACAAAGACCTTGTGCCTGTGGGTGGAGACAGGGCAGCGCCATCCTAGCTCAAAAGTCTGCCCCAAAGATAATGTCACACAGCTAAGGGAGTGTCATTTTCCCAAAACCCACTTTTCTACCTTTATAGTGGTAAAGGGAATGGTTGCCCAAAACTTGAGGCCACACTTGCTTGGGGCTGCTGCCCTGGTAGGGTGAACTGGGTGGCTCAGAGTCTGCCCCCAAGGTCTGCCCCTGGTCCTGACATGCCTCCTAGACCTATCAGACTCATGGGTTCAGTTTGAGGTCACCGGCCAAGATTACTATGGCATGCGCCTAAAGGAGGCTGAAGGGGCTCATTCAAGTTCTAGATTTTCCAGCAGTCTGGCTCTGCCATCATCCCACCTTGGGGAGGTAGCCTCCATATCTAATGGACACCAATGCCCAGGGAGGAGGTGCCCAGACCACAGCAGATACTCCTTATTCTCCCGGGTTGGTCTGTGATGTCCATGGAGGAGAAGCCTCTGGGCCTGGCCCCAACAATCAGGGACTAATTTTTGAGGGAATTGACAGGGATCTGGTTGAGTGGCATGACCACTTCAATGCCCGTCTCCGTGGTGGCTAGGGGGCATTTCCGGCTGCTGCGAATGCTGTAAAACTTATCGGTGAGGTGCTTGCGGAAACTCTTGGTGAGGAAACAGTAGATTATGGGGTCTAAGACACAATTGGTGCTAAGGAGGCAGAGGGTGATCTGATGTGCATCGTTAATAGCCTGGTGGAAGTTGTTGTCCTGGAAGCCCAGCTCAGCCAGGGTCCAGGGCAGCTGCACCATGTGGTGGGGCACGAAGCAGATGATGAACACAGCCAAGACTGTGCAGACCATCCACAGTGCCCGGTGCTTGACTTCTGCGTTGCGCTGCAGATGCTCCGGTTGCATGAGCAGCTTGCGGATGATGACCAAGTTGCAGACGAAGATGATGAGGAAGACAAGGAAGAAGCTGAACACCAGGAAGATGTGGATGATGAGGACCGGCACACTGCCTTTCTCATAATGCTCAAAGCAGCGGGTGATGTTGCCTGAGCCGTCCTTGTTGGGCACCGTGTTGGTGGAATCCATGAATAAGAAGTACGATGCAGCGGCCACAATGGCCACCCAGATGACCAGGGACAAAAAGATGCCACGCTTGCGGGTGGAAGCCTGAGCGGTCTTGATGGGCTTTGTCACTGCCTGGAAGCGGTTGTAAGTGATGACACCCAGGAAGGCCACAGAGCAGTAGGTATTGATGAAGAAGCAGCAGCCAGTCAGGTTGCACAGGAACTTGGGGAAAATCCAGTTGCCCTGGTTGTAGTAGTAGACGACCCACAGGGGCAGGGTGAGCAAGAAGAGCAGGTCAGCCACGGTGAGGTTCACCATGAAGATCTTTATCTCATTGAGTTTCTTGGAAGAATACAGGTGGGCAAATACCCACAGTACATAGCTGTTGGCGATAAACCCCAGCAAAAAGATGATGCTATAAACAATTGGGAAGAGGGTGTATCGGAACTCAGAGTCCACACGAGAGAAATTATTTGACTGCATCGCTCTGGGCTGGAAGAGGCAGCTGGTTACAGGGTCCTGCCTGTGCCTGGAAGACCACACGGGAATTCTGGTTAATGAAGGGCCAACAAAGGACTATCTTATTTCATCAATTCCAAGACTACCATTTTGCACATTTTTAAAACCCTAAAATCAATGGCATCTTTCAATTAATTGGCAGCATTTTTTTTTCTTTCTACAGAAAATAATGGTGTGTTTCTACAATGGATCACATCTGAGATTCAATGAAACCCATGGCAGTTCAATTTCTTTTCTCTTGTTCCATTTAAAAATATAACTTTTTTAACTTCTTCACAGCAAAAGAAACCATCAACAAAACGAAAAGACAAGCCACCAACTGGGAGAAAATATTTGCAAATCATATATCCGAAAAGGGGTTAATTTACAAAATACATAAAGAACTCATACAACTCAACAACAAAAAATGAACAACCTGATCAAAAAACGGGCAGAGGATACAAACAGACATTTTTCCAAAGAAGATATACAGATGGCCAACAGGCGCGTGAAAAGATGTTCAACATCACTAATTATCAGGGAAAAGCAAATCAAAACTACATGAGATATCACCTCACACCCGTCAGAATGGCTATAATTAATGAGACAAGAAATAACAAGTGTTGGAGAGGATGTGGAGAAAGGGGAACTCTCATACACTGCTGATGGGAATGCAAGCTGGTGCAGCCACTGTGGAAAACAGTATGGAGATTTCTCGAAAAATTAACAACAGAAATACCATATGATCCAGCTATTCCACTACAGGGTATTTATCCAAAGAACATGAAATCACTAATTCAAAAAGACAGATGCACCCCTGTGTTCTTTGTAGCATTATTCACAATAGCCAAGACTTGGAAGCAACCCAAGTGCCCATCAATGGATGAATGGATAAATAAGATGTGGAATACTACTCAGCCATAAAAAAAGACAAAATCGTGCCATTTGCGACAACATGGATGGACCTTGAGGATATTATGCTGACTGAAATAAGCCAGACAGAGACAGTGTATGATTTCACTCATATGTGGAAGATAAACAAACACATAGATAAGGAGAACAGATTGGTGGTTACCAGAGAGGAAGAGGTGCAGGGAGGGCGAAAGGGGTAAAGGGTCACATACATATGGTGACGGATAAAAACTAGAGTATTGGTGGTAAACATGAGGCAGTCTATACAGAAGCTGATATAATAATGTACACCTGAAATTTACACAATCTTATAAACCAATATGACCTCAATAAAATAATTTTAAAAATATATATGTACATACCTTTTTATTCTTTGGCTTTATCTATTTATGGTGCTAAAATACATGAAAATTTATACTGTAAAATTTTTAATTTTCTGACAAAACTTGTATATTTTTCTACTGATGAAATTTGAAATAAAAATTTTGATGGTAAAATGTTCTATATTAAAAAATAATTTATGTGCTTATAAAACATTGGGAAAATACAGAGAAGTAAAATACTTGTGTCACTCAGGAAATGAAATACTAGCCAGTCATTAGAAAGAGTGAGTTAGATCTTATTGTACTTGACATGGAAAGTTGTCCCCAGATAACATTGTTAAGGAAAAGAAAACAAGTTGGTATGACGCCATTATATATGCGTATATGAATAGAAAATGATCTAGGATACACCCCAAAGAGTTGACAGTGGTAAGTAACCACTGGGAAAGTGAAGTGGGCTTGGTAGGAAGTTTATTTACTTTGTACTTTTGTTTGTTTGAACTTTTTAGGAGCATTTATTACTCTAGCAGTTAAAAAATTTTAAATATAATTTTAAAAGTATACAGTGAAGAAACCCAGTAGACAATACTTTAACCAAATGATCAAGATTAACCTCATCATTAATAAGACATGTCAACAGCACATACCCCTGATATGATGTACTGAAAAGGACACAACATCACTTCTCTGGTGTTCTTGCCAAAAATGCGTAATCTCAATTTAGTCATGAGAAAACATCAGACAAACCTAAACTGTGAGACATTCTACAAAATGACTGATCAAAAGTGTCAAGGTCACAAAAGACAAGGAAAGACTGAGGAACTGTCATAGATGAGAGACTATTAAGGAGACATGTGACAACTAAATGTAATGTGGGATCTTGGATTGTATCCTGGCACAGAAAAGACCTTTAAAAGAAAAACTGGTGAAGTTCAAATAAGGTCTATAATTTAGTTAGTATTGCATGAATGTTCATTTCCTGGTTTTGATCATTTTATTCTGGTTTTGTAAATTGTGAACATTAGCGAATGTTGGGTGAAGGGCATACATGAACTCTCTGTACTGTTTTACAACTTTTTTGAAGCTCTAAAATTATTTCAAAGACAAAAAGTTTTTTTTGAAATATATTGAAGAAGATTAAAACCAGCCATAACCTCACTACCCAAAGTCCGGCCCACTTTCAACAGTTCTTTGCCACCACCCACTCTCCATCAGAACTAGTCGCTCCTTCCTCTCCCCTCTTGTTCCTCCCGCTATGTTGCTGTCACATGAGCTTGGAAGCCCCTCTGATGTTTTGTTGCAGCTAGTGGGGAAGGGATGGCAAGAGACTCAGATGGAATTCAGCAGGGCCCTAGGCTATCATATATCATAATGCAGTGAAAAGAGCCCAGAATTGAGAGTGAGAAGCAAAGAAGATAATTAACACTTTGGAGCACCCCTTTTGGAGCCAGGCACCCTTCTAGGTGCTTCCACATGCACACCTCATTTGAGTCTCACAAAAGCCCTTTGAGATAGGAAGTAAAGTCTCCCTTTTACAGAATAGGAAACTGAGTATAGGGTGGTTATGTGACTTGTCCAAGGTCACAGAGCTGTTGAAGGATGGAGCCAGGATCTCAAACCAGCTCTGTGTTCGTTTGTCCATTCACACCTTCATCCAACAAATGTTTCTGAGCACCAACTGCATGTCAGGCTCACTGCTAGGCACAGAGATACAGGGTGAACACGACCAACAGGGCTCTGCACTCAGGAAAGTTACAGTGTCATGGGGGAGACAGACAAAAGCAATGTAAACAAACATAGTTGCTATGCAAAGAAAATGGGGCGCTGATATGGAGAATAAAAAAAGAGATCTACTTAGAAAGGAGATGACATTTCGGTTGATGCCTGAAAGAGGAGCAGAGGAAGATTGTTTCAGGCAGAGGTATCTACATGGGTCCAAGACTGAGGCAGGAAAGAACTTGGTAGGCTCCAGGAACTGAAAAGAGGGCCACCTGACGGCCCTTGTCCTAACCTCCAGCTGCCCCTCTACCCTCATCTCGCGCCACATTCCCACCAGGCTGCAGCCAAAATGGACTTCCCAGGTGGGTCTCCGAGCCAGTCCAAACTTTTCCTGCCTCAGCCTCTACACACACCCATGCCGCTGCCTTGACCATTCTTCCCCACCCGCACCCCACTTCCACTTGGCTATGCCAACTCATGCTTCAGTTCAGCTCCCCTTGAAAACTCCCTGTACTTCTTCGTAAATCTTAGCACAGTTGTAATCACATTCGCATTTGATTGCACTTGATGTGAGCACGAGGTGGAGAAGGACCTTATCTGTCTATTCAACACTTTTCCCAGCACCATGAACCAGTAACTGAAGGAATGAGTGATAAGCCTTCCTCTTATGACCATTCCTTAGGGAGCCCCGGAGCAGCAGAAATGCTTGAAGAAGCCTATGGATCCTTACAGGTGAGTTTAAAGAAACAACGGGGTCTAATTGGAATTTTGTTCATTGAGAAAATTTTTGTGCTTTGCCCCCTTTAGTGTGGTGGTGGTTTGTCTATGTTAAATTAGATAAATAGAGGTTCCATTATTCCAATAAATCATCGTGATTCCTTTAAAAACAAAAAACCCACCCTCAAGTCACATTGTCAGTTGCATAGTTGATTTGAGTTACAGAGTTTTATGCTGCTTCCGCAGCAGCAAAATTGCTAGCTTCTACTCGGCCGGGACCTCATCCACTCCTAAAGGTAATCCCGCCATCTGATCCCATAGCTCCAGGATAATAGATTTCAAAGGGTGGTCTGTGGAAATGAGAGAGGAGAGAGGAACATCTCTGAGAACTTTCAGGGGATCCATGACATCAAAACTGTTGTTATAGTAACACCAAGAGATTATTTGCCTTTTTCACATTTGCACTGATGGTACCAAATGATGAGCAACACTGCTGGCTCCTTAGCACAAGTCGGGACAGCGGCATCCAGCAGTAGTAGGCGTTATATTCTTCACAGTCACGCACTCAGTGTAAAAAAATTTAATTTAATTTTTTAAAAAGCCAATTTCACTTTAAAATGTCCTTGATAAGGCAAGGAAATTATTGACTTGATTAAATCTTGAGTACACATCTTTTTAATTTTCTGTATGTCAAAATGGGAAATACCCGTGAAACACTTCTCCTGCAGACTGCAGTACAGTGGTTGTCTTCAGGAAAAGCACTCACGCCATTGTTTGAGTTGAGAGCTGAGGTTTTTTTCGGTCACCATTATCACTCGAAAAAATGACTGCACACTGGCTTTCAGACTTGGGTATCTGGCAGACATTTTCTCAAACATGAACGAAGTGAACCTGTCACTTCAAAGAAAACAAATGACAGTATTTGTTGCCATAGATAAAATTTGAACTTTCAAGAGAAAATTAGAATTTCTGGAAAACTTGTATCTGCCAGCATGAGCTTGACAGCTTTCCAATACCTAAAGAATTTTCTGATGAGACAGGTGGTGATATCAATGAATGCAATTTTTTTGATATCTTATAATGACAGGTCAAGATGTGAAAGAGCTACACAACTCAGTGAACCCATATTTTTCAAAGGAAGAAGGCATAATATTTCAAAATTATGTGTAGGTAAAAGATTCAAAGGGCAAGCTAGACCAATACATTGCAGAGTAACAGATCACAAAAAGTTCATTGGTATGATTCAGTTTCCACATTGCAACTAACCTTTAAGAAACTACCATTTGTGAAGCTTTGATGTAGTATCAAAGAAGAGCATCAACAATTATCTGAAAAAGATGTTAAAATATCCCTGCCTTTG